TGTTGTCCTTCCTTTTATGAGTTGAACTTCACTCAGAAGCGTCAACAAACGTCAAAAGCCTCCTTTCTACCCAGTAATTTCCATTACCTAGCTTAACAGAAGCGTGTGGTCCAGGGACAACTGTTGCGCCAGTAGTTTGCATTGGAGCACCCCTGCCACAACTAGGTTATTGATTTAGCATTTCTTGGATAGAGTTTTCGCATATGATAGCGTTTTACTTATTTTCTCATCACCATTATAAGCATCTGTTTGTTTTCTTGGACGTTAAATGTTTACGTACAGGAGATGTGCTTATTCCCTCAGTTGTTAGAAAAGCCTAAGCTTTTCTAGAGCGTTGTATTTTCTTGTGTGCGCAAACTTTGCTTATAATCAGTTTTAGCGTTGATTTGACACTTTTTAAAACTTTTTTTGCTGATACGCAAGCTTCATGTATTCGGTTGATTTTTCTTTTCCTTTTCGTTTTTCAGGGGAAATATTTTTTATAGTTTGTTGACGCTTATATACTTAGCATTGTTATGACATCTTTTTAGTACATGAGAAGGAGTGGCAAAAGCTATCGCCAATAGTTGAATGCTGAGCAAGGGGCTGGTCACTTTTTATAATTCCGATTTGTTTTTCGGTGCTTGCTTCCACGACATCCCTGATTTCTATGAAATCATACTTACTTTTTTTGAGTTCATATTACAGTATTACTGTTAACAATCTTTATTGTCTTAAATAACTAGCTTTCCTTGTCTGTTTTGATTATTTCAGCTTAGCATGGTACCCGTGTAGCATGCAAAGCAATACAAAATTTCTACATCTCCATATAAATTATTGTTCTGTTTCGTATCCCGTAAATAGAAGATATGTGCACATATACAAATTTACTGATAGGTTGCGCACATTTCCTGAGTCATGGTTTTACAGTAATGACATCAACAAGCGTGAATCCAGAAGAGTGGCGAAGTATTGTTCATCGAGTAATCGCCTCTTGGGGCGGTTATCAGCTAGGGGTAGACTTTCATTCAGGTGGCCCAGAGACGGAGGCTAAGGATGAGGTTAGATTTTTAGCTGTATGCTTATGTAGAAAAAATTTCTTTATCCTTTTGTGTCTGTTTAGTGGTTCAAAGATGTGCTTGCCGAGTTCATTTTCACAACGAAAGGATTGAAAACTGAAGATTTAGAAGATTGGCTAAACAATATTCTTTATACGGAGTTTAATTTGATTCTGGAGGATGATAGCGTTTATCCCACCTCTCTTCTTCTCCATGAAGCTTTTGGGTAAAATCCCGTTTCCAGTATCCTTACATGGTAGTAATTTGTCTGATATCTCCAATCTCAGCTATTTGAAGAACAACGACCGTACAAGACTAGAGCAATTATTGAGTAGCCTTCCGTCCGTGGAGACAGTTCGTGAGGTAAAATACCCGTGTCTATATTTTGACGACTCGTTAATTGCTGTTGCTCATATTTTGTCCGTTCAGGCAAATAAACAGAGTCAGCGTGAAGTTGGCGATGATGACGAAGAAATGGAGCTTGGCGACATCTCTGAAAGCGAAGGGAGCGATGACGGTAAAATTTGCAGTTATTCTGAAATGGATATCTCTAAACTTGCCCTTTGACTCTATTACCTACATCTTTTAGAACACTAAACTTGATTGGAGCGAGCAATTTTCAGGAAAACGTTTGTTCTAGCTTTTTGACCCGAAACTTAAAAGTTTTGGCTGTATTGAAGCGTGCTTCTTCTACTTGACGGTTCTGTTAAAATCACCCATGGAAAGTGGCATTTTTACCACTTGACGCATGGCAATCTTTTAGGAGAGTGTACTGTAGGATAATTGCCTCCAATATCATTCCTTTATTTCGCCTCCTGTAACTCATCGAGATGCCACCATGGCAAATAAATATGCTCGTGATTGGCATGTAAAATATTCTCTTCAAGTAAACCTTCGACATCATTTCTGTCCAAAGAAATTTAGTGCTTATTAGAATTTCTTGTGGTGTGTTTAAGCCGAAATGCATACATGATATTTTGAAGTTCTGCTACTACTACTGAAATGTTAATCTCTTTGCAGAAAACATAGCGGAAGAGCCGAAGAAAGAGCGACAGCCTCGGATGGTCACTGATGAAGATGGGTGGACTACTATTTTAAAAAAGTAATCTTGAGA